CGCATACCGATCAATGCTGGCGACGTCAGTTCTAGCGTCACTACTACGTGGTTCAGCCTTACGTCGTCAGAGCGGTTTTCTAATACATTGCAGTGAAAGGAAGTGTAACGTTTTTGATCGAATGCGTACTCCGTGAATGGCTTGTAATATCTTGATAGAAGAAACACGTTTTTTGTCCAATGTGGACAAACAAAATATTATTATTTTCTGTGGATGGCACAGTTGGAAGTAACAGTCCTTCTGACCTAATCTGTTTATTGCGTTGCCGAGGTCGACAGTGAATGGAGCTTTTACATGCAAGGCCCACTAAAGCCTTCATTGCTTCGTTCTTAAGCCGGGGGGCATTTTTACTCTAGACGGAAGAATCCAGCAGAAAGTGGAGACTAAGCTTTGATTCGCGCAGTGTCAGAAACGGCTCGGCGGATGACTGAGGTTCTGATAGTCAAGGTCAAGGTAAATGTAAGGTTACCCCGTGTGCTGATCTAGCATCACGTCATGAAGACGTTTGGCCGTCCTGGCTGCTTTAACCCTAGGAAAGAATCCCGGTACCTGTTGGATAGAAAGATGGTTAGGTCAATCACCCTGATGATGGAGTCAGCAAGCACCTCAGGAACGCCGGTAAACTTCTACCAGGCGACAGGGCGCAGTAACCAATAAGTCGACCATCTTCATGTTCAATGTTTATTTGGTTTTATTTGTTGTCACCGCGTAATTCGATGTTCTTAACAACCGGCTGACTTCTGATTCACATTAAATGCAATCTGTTCTAAGCCAAGCTTGCAAGCTGAACTTCCTAAGAGAGTATGGTAATTCCTGAGAAAGCCCCGAGACAAGACGAAGTTGCCATAACGTACAGATGTCAAGTATCAAAGCGCTTTACGTTTTCATCCATTTAATGGGATTTGTCTGAAAGTTGTGTTTCACTATTAAGAAACCGCTTTATATATGTCACTGCAGGAGGTCGAATTGTTAATTATTCCGTATTTAATTTTAGGGTCTTGTGTAAATGATAGTACGCTGGCTTTCCGCGTTTCATGTGTAATTTATCTTCTGAGACCGCCCAAGTGTTTCTGAACTTAGTTTTGTCCTATTTTTCGACGCATATCATGAAAAATGATAGCTTAGTCACTTAAATGTCTGGCTGCAAACTGCAAATTTGGCGTTCGATTCCAGTCAAAGTTGGGATATTTTCCTTTACCACCACGTCAAATTAAACCTTTGAATTGGAAAGAAATACCTGGTTCTCAATAGGCTGTGTTAAACATCAGTGAGTCATGTGAAATTTTGAGGGACAGTGCACAAATGTTATATGAAATATTATGATTTTTAAATGAAGGCTCTGTTTTGTAGAGTAATAAATACTATTATGAAGCGCTGCTTGGGAAGAAACTTTAATTAAATGTTATAAAGCTGAGGTATTTGCCGCTGCTTGCTTCTGGCTAGAGGACCTGGAATGCAACAAAATAACGACATAATAGTATACAACCCGGCGATGCAGTTTCTATAAAAACATCTGACGAAATGTTGTTAGACATTGGAGGAACTGTGTATTAATGAAACCAGAATGTAAACATGCACTGTGGTATTTATAAACTCGTCATTTGGCGTCTGCATGCCCCGTTGGCATTTATGTTTATTTGTATCAAATACGAACGCATTTTTTGCAAACCTACCTTCATTTATTTTAGTCAGGACAGTTGGTTTTTTTAAAAGTAATAACTGTGAATGATGAGCATTTTATTTTTAGAAAATGTATAAATTTCTATTAGAGGCGATAAAACTTCGATTTCTCTTCAAGAAATGCCTGTGTTAGTGATATTTCCCTGGTGAAAGGAAGCCCAAATCAACTCTGTGACAGTAAAGAATCGCTTCTTATTCTTTCCATTTCGTAAACATTAACTCTGTAATTTCCCAGAAGACCTTGGTCTTACCAGCCGGTTTCTCAGCCACGATGTTTTTCAGGAAGGTATAATACCAGCTGTTGGTGAGAGATTATTGTTCTTTTAATTGGGTGTGTCAAGTGGAGTCGTCGTTACCACGGAGATCTACGAACTGCGCGGCTAAATAACAGGCACATTTATTTTGCACAGTTATCTAAGGTGTGACTGGGGGGTTTATGACGTCGAAGTGACAGGTAGATAGATGAGCGAGTCAGTGAAGAAGTTAATGTTAGCGTGTCATTTCAAGGCACGCTGATGACTGTCCGATCTGCGACACACTTTTCTAGTAAAGGGGATTTATCGATGACTTTGTTTTACAATCTTAGCTTTACGAAGTTCTAACAGTGTAGTTCTGCTTCTGGTATTTGCATTTCATTAATTTCTAATCGGTGATCTGATTGTCGTGGCCATACACGTATCGACAATAATTGTGCGAGGAGGTAAAAGGAAACGCGAACAGTGTCTGGTCAGACGTCGGATTCCTGGATTTAAACGTTGCCTCGGCGTGTGTTATTACTAGTTATATCAACAACTGACTTTCTATATGAAGATGGCTGTCTTCTGGGTTGTTGCGCCTTGTAGTCTTATAGAAGTTTACCGACGTTTCAGAAGTGCTTGCTACTTCCATCATCAGGGCGACTTATCGCCATCTACATTCATGACGAATCTGTGAGAAATTCGATCTCCTGCTTATTGTTTTTTCGTCGACCATCCCTCATAATTATTTTAAATTTCTCATTGATAATATCCATTTAAACGGAAATCTTGTTCTTTATGTATGAATGTTAAGATATCATGGTATACGCGCATATTACAGCCAGAATATTTGTTCAATTCTAAAGGGGTTTTGACGACGGTAGTTTACATTTAAAATTATTGGTCCAGTGACAGAGACTAGCTCTATATAAGGAACCCAACAGAGTAGGTACCTCTCACTTGAAGACGGAGACAGAACCAGCCTCCGAAACGTCGTGATTTTAAAAGAACAGACGATGGAAAAAGTCCTGATAAAGAATAATTTTAAACAGAATATTTGTGGTTAGGAAGGGACTCATTTGTAAGGTCATCCCGTGCCGCTTTATTAACCACAAAGGTTATGGTTGACGAATGTGATGGCAGCAATGGTTGACAAGTCGCGTGAGTTTTGTAAACAAATCCAAGTGTGCTTTAAAAGGCGTTATTGCACCATTCGTCTGGAATTTCCAAGATAAGCCACGACTGCCACTTTAATTGGTTTCCTGGTCAACATTCGAATTGACTACATCTTTGTTGCACGAATAGGTACTGCAATGTAATGTATTATCATGTATCTATAAATCGCGTATAATATTTTCTGTTAATGCTCTTCCTAAATAAATATCGTTTTTCAGAGTGCAGGGACTTTAATGTAACAGCAACGAGTTTAGCATAGACTTTGAGTAAGGTTCAAGTTCTGACGCTGGGAAATCGTTGCTTCGCATTCACACGGTTGTCGCGTGATACCGTCAGCTGGTCAGTGTTATGATAGCATCGGCTACAGTAGTGTAGTGACAGCCAGGATGCTGGGCGGACAATATCACATATACAACCGCCACCAGGTGTCCAGCAGCAGCGAGAGCAGCAGTTCGACCTCCGTTCATGATCAGGAGGACGCAGGATTCGCGGGCTTCCTCAAAAGGCACTGTCATCTCGCCGACGAGAAACCTCACCATGAGGAGAAACCTCACCACCATAGTGGCAGACATCTGCAGGACATCCTCAGAAGCCTGGGGCGCAAGGTATTATTTTTTGGGGTGTGCAGGGGTCTAGGGAATATGAGGTGGGCTAGTGAGTTGGAAATATCGATCAGAAAAATTGGGGGTGATGTCTCGTAGTTGTGAGGCAATTTAGGCATGAGAGATTCATCGGTCATGGATCTCGTAGTGATGAATTTTACTTTGAAGCAGAGATGAATTAATTTGGGGGATGCGAGAATTAGATTAAACGACAGCCGGAGTTACTAGAGAGAGGGCTAGATGTGCATAGCGAGGATTATCGAAGACAGGCATTTCGTATGCGATTCGTAATCCTAGGAAAGACGGGACTGACGGAGTTTAAGGAAACTCTGTTGTTATGGTACACGAACTCGAACAATTAGTAGGACTCAGTCCAGGAGTGCGTGTGTTTCTAGCGAAGTTGGGTCAAGGTTCATTGCGAAGGCTAGTCATGATGTTTGTTCAGTAAGCGTTAGTAAACCAAGTTCTGTCATCAGGTGTGTTTCTCCATTGAATTTCCGTTGGTTTTAATATCGGTCTGTGAGGCTTATGATTGGCTAGATTTGGAAATAAATGTTCGGCCATGGATTGTGTCCAGTATTGTCAGGCCTACATTGTTGGTGATGACGTTAGGTGAGTAAGAGCTAGGTTCAGTCTGAGTATGGTCGGTAAATAAGGCTTCGATTTTGAATTTAAGGCACCGGGTGAGTGCGTGTTTATCTTAAATATTAGCCAGCGTGGTATATGATTAGTATGAGGTTCGAGGCTCGGTCAAAGGTCGAGTGTCGTGTTCGGTGATGTTCAGTCTTAAACCAGCAGTGAGTGATGCGATTTGGTGAACAACCGTGACGCTTATTCCTAGAATGTAATGGTAATGAAATAGCGATCTTTGAGGTCCAGTCTGGAAGTGTGTTAGCGAGTGAGGTTCGGTCAGTGAGGTGTGGTGCTCTTCAGGTGCGGGGCAGTCTGGACGCGAGTGGATCCAGCGGCGAGTCGCGCAGCAAGAGTCCAAGGCGCACCAGCTGCTTCCTGGAGGTGCCGACCGACCCTCTGTTCCGCTCCCGGTCTCGATCCCTGGACGACGGCGCCCGGACTCGCGTTTCGCCCAGCGACTGCGAGGCCACCTACCGCATCTTCGACGAGATCGTCAAGGAAGGTAAAACTGTCTGTGTTTTGCCTGTCACGGCCTTCAGATGACAAGTCGCCTTTCCGTTCTAAGTTTGCGTGAGGCGCGTTGTGTGTCCTCAGGGATCGGAAGCACGCGTTGCGCTCTCGTCCAATTGCAACCTTGATTTCCTGTTGCTATGGTTACCTGTCCGTAATATATGTGAAAAAATCCATTAAAATGTTGCATTCTACATTAGCTAATGAGAATTGACTTCACCTCCACTCCGCCCTTCGTTATGTAACCATCAGTTACAGAACGTCTCGGCCGAGTAATTAACAACCCTGCTTTGTATCCAGGGGGTACCAGGTTCAGATCTTAGCCCGGAAACGGGTTGAAAGGGTTGTCCTGACAGAGCATTCGACAGCCGACGGTAAATAGCATGTACAGAGGTAGACGAGAATACCTGTTTGTAAGACAAATAAGCATTTTTGTTATTACAGCAGCTTTTATTCTGCTGCTTAGAGTTGTTTTTGAAATTACGGAACCGTTTAGACGTTAGGTAGGACTCCGTGACGGCCGATCATCCCGTCGAAAGGCTTGTGCTGACACAGGACAGAAGAACACTGAAAAAATGCGGACGAACATCCATGTCGTGAGTGGGATTCGAACCCTATCTCTCAGTGTCTGGATCTAACTTATAAGCTATTCCGCTGATACCCTTATTTCTATTCGATTTCCTTGCGGAGCGCAGAAAGTGAATTCATAGAGGTCGTGTATGTCATTCTGGCTGGCTTTCTCTGGCCACATGGAGCTAGTTTATATACCACTCAGCACAGCTGATGTCGGTCATTTGAAACCTTTTCGACCCGATGTACGTTTAACGAATTACAAATGAAACTCCTTTTCTTGAGTACTGGATTATATCTGTTGTTTATTGTCGCTGTAGTAGTTTTGTATCCGATCTGTAATAAAGGAACACAAAGACTAACGAATTGTTCAAAGAAGCAAATATACAGTTTGAAATGCGTCATGAACTATTGTATGAACTTTGAAAACTCATTTTCCACGAGTTTTTCACGTGCTGAAAGGAAATTACTGACCATTCGCTTTATATTCTGTTGAAAACGTAACAATCTATCTCCAGCCACGTAGTCCGATGCTGCGTGTGAATGACTGACCACTACTGGAGGGGATAATGCTGTTTCTTCTATACCAACTGGCAGACTAGATTTGTATAACATGGTACCAAAGCAAGAAATATGGTCTGTGTAAGGGGTATGATGTTGCCGATTAATGAGAGAGTATGGAAAGCCTCAGGTCCATGGGAATAACGCGGAAGCGAATTTAATGATGCCGATAGACGCTGTCAGCAGGCCGTATAAATTCGAGTGGGTTCTCCTTTAACTGTAACAGTTTCAGTGTAGAGGGTTTTCTTTTTGAGTACACTAATCCTGTTGAAAGTTACGAAATACCTGGATACCAATATAGCCGTTTAGTTACTGCCTCCAATATGAGATAATTAAGACTTCGGATAACTACCAGTAAGTACGTTACCCAAATTATTCAGTGAATTTCTCACAAGATACCAGTCAAATCCCCTGCTGAGTTACACCTTTGCTTTTTTGCAGGACATTAGAATGAAACGATATCCCAGGGAATGAAGTTAGGTTAGGTCTTTGGCGAAAACTGTTGCATTAAAAAAATTATTACACTTTTAAACAGACATTGATGGTTTTTGTTTTACAAAAGAAGATATTTAAGATTTATAAATATCGCACATTTAACAAGTGTTTTATGAACGAGTTATATCCTTTACCTGTGAACGTTCGCGCGCTGCTGTGGCGAAGTTGGTAATCATACGAACCACTGTTCGAGTCTTGTGACAAGCATGAATGTTTTCTTTGCCGTGATTTGTATATCTCATATTATATTAGAATAGTCAATTCAAGGAGATTTCGTTCGGCCGGGCATGTAGCTGGAATGGGAGGAAACAATTCGTACACCAATTTTGGTGGTGAAGTCTCTTGATAGACCGAGAATAATGTTTGAGAATAATATTAAAATTGTTTTTAAGGAAATGGACTGTGCTGAGGCACGTTTTAGTAGTTGTTCAACCTTTATGTGTTATCAGATTTAGTTAAAGTATTGAACAAGTGAATGCATGGAAGATATTACTGTCTGAAAGGCATATGAATCGAACTGCCAAATAGGACGTAATAAAATCTGAGATTTTCAGAAATTTGTAGAACACTCTTAGTTCTATTAAAACCGGAATTCATTTAAACGGAATTTCAGTCACGCAGTGTTTTTACGTTTTTTTTATTAGAATCGCATGATTTGTTTCAGTATGCATGTAACGGTTGCCGACTTTAATCGATTAATTCCGTAATCGCAGATTATTTTCTTCGGTCCGTTGATCAGTCTCTTACGACATACGGTCTACGACCTGCCAATAAGGGCACAGAGTTTTGTGCTAACCACGAAGTTAATCACGATTTCAGTTGTATGTGTTTACTGTATTCATGCCATAGAAGTTTATAGTGGTTACGTGTTATAGTTTTATATTTTCGACATTTTGCCTCCTCTTGGGAAGTCCTGTTCATTTGGCTGTGTTGAATTATTTCATATAGTCCTGCAGAAATATTATTTTCTAACCCTAGATTTGAGACCGTATTTTTTTTCCGTGCCCTGTCTTCAAACCTAAATAACGACTTAGGATCTTACAACAAAAATATAATTAATATTTTATTCATACGCATCATCTTCGTAGTTATTGAGCGAAGAAGGCAGATTGAAGGTCTTGAGGCAAAGTGCTTGCTGCGGAAAATAGTTAACGTTTTAGAAGACGAAGCAGAAAATAAATTACTGGGAAATCACATTCGTAATTCATCACGTGACACTATTCGGATGATTAATTCAGGTTTGATTCTCAGAGTTCGGTTGGTCGAACGTTACGTTTTTGTTTTCTCCGTTTACTGTGTCCTTGGTGGGATTGGAGATTATGCGGATCGTCGTCGTTTCGTTATCTGCATTCACAAAGGATTACAACATTCCCAAATTAATGCATTCTAATACAGAGAGATTAACTCATCCCTTCATGAACATTAGTTTGGTGCAGTGTTGAGACATTTCTCTGTTCTCACAGGTGCGCTTCTCAGGCGCAGTTCCTTGGAACCCGACAGACGGTGCTTCTCCCTAGGGACCACAACGACGCATCACCGCGCGTCCGATGTCAGTCTGGACCCACATCATGCTGCAATATTGTTCAGGGATTCTCGAGGGGTGAGTACCATGCTTTGTTTAGTCAAGGTCTTCATGTTTCGAGATCAGACTGGTAACCAAGAAAAATCAGGACTGTCCGACTTTTGAACACAAAGGAGTCAGAATGTGTCTTATGCCCTCGCCCATAGCCTGAACTACGTATATCGCATAATCTATGTTGTGCCATATTTAGTTGAATTGGCCCATAGAGTTAGAAAACATGCCTGTTTATCTCTCAGCTCCAAACATTTTTACGAAGTTTGTATGGCGTGAAGAAGGCTGTGTAGTCTGGTAAAGTTTACCGAAGTTTCATGGGTGCTTGCTGCCTCTGAAGGTCTGCATTTCTGAAACGTCGGCGAGACATCTTCATACTCACTGTCGTGAGAACCTGAAGTCTCGTTTTGGAGAGTACACTTTTTAAATGTTTGCCTTCGAATTCGTCGAAGAAGGACGCTGTTATCACCATTAGAAACGTCGCAAAATATAGTTAGAATAGAGTATCATTGTTAATAACACGGAATCCAACGTAGGGCTTCTGTTTGAGGAAGAAGAACTTAGTTGAATAGCGGATGACGAAGTAATTAAACAGATCAGATTCGAAACGAAACAATGGGCAGCTCTGGCGATCGGAAGTATATTCAGAGCCCGTACGAAGCTGAAGAAGCCCTTTCAGATCGTAATACAAAACTGAAAGTCGTCTGTGTTGTGACGCGTGACAATGAGTTGTCTCATCAGTGTCAGACTTTACGCATTTGGTAGGTGCCTGTACAGTGTAAGACTGTAATCCTGATTTATAGGTGACTTGTGGTAAGTAACGTTCAGTTGGGCAAACGCAGTTACTCCCTTTCGGATTCGACACTAATTCCCTTATCTCTCACTCACCATACCTAGTAATGTGCTCATAGTTTGCCATGAGAAGCTAATATCTGCTTAGGTAGTCAAGCATTCTGTGCGTTATGGAACCCGAATTTGTTTACAAGAGCCCCTCATTGATCCTTGCACAGTATTTCTCAAAGACCAGTTTTAATAATACCCTCCAGTATTCGCCTGTATCTCGCAAGCGGCTCCTTCTTCAGGGGTTTCGACTGAAATTCAGAAATGCATTTAACATTCATCCCATGCTTGTTACATGCCTCGCTGATTTCTTCCAGATTTGATCATAATATTTTATGAAGATTGGAAAGTATTTGGCTTCTCATATATATATATATATATGCTTAAAATACCTTGGAAAAGGCTGTAGTTGCTCGGGTGATTGAGTTTGCTTGATTTTACTGAACCCGACGTTTCATCACCAGGCTCGCAGAAAGCCACTGGACCGTGCCCTGAGTCACTTCAGTACAGTCCAGTACATTTCCCACAAGTGCCGCGTTTCTGTATGTACTGGGTTTAAACGCTGTAAACATGAAAGGTCCAGGTTGTAACTGTGACTGCTGCTACGTTCTGATTCAATTACGTGTTTGTGCCACCAATATAATGTATCTCTGTCATCAGCGGTAAGGTTACGGGGCATACCATTGTGTTCATAAACAATGGGAAATGTCACCCACATGACACGACAAGGAAACAATGTTTGTAGACAGAACAGGAAGTATTTTGAATTCATAGTCACGTACTTTGTCTCATTCCCTTCAATAATTTTTTTTATGTGATCTGGGATCTCATGTAGCACGTTGCATGATTTAACGACGATATTTCAACGACAGAACTTAAAATTATCGATTGATCGTGACTGGAAGAAAACGCTTGTCATTTTGAAGATACTATCCCAGCTTTTGTTCTCCTGGAGAGGCTGAGGATAACCAGAATTCTCCAGAGGTCATTTAGAAATCGAAAATCCACGAAGATAGAGTTATAAATAATTCACCAGAGCACCCTGATATTGGTTTTGTAAACACCACATCCCATAAATTAGGCGGAACGTAGTGTGTCGAAGTTCCAACGTTTCTGGCGAGCGTAAATATAATAATAATGTAATATGTAAAATTGTTTATCGTCTGGACCGTAAAGTTACAGAACTACAAAAGATTCTGTTTTCGCTAGAGGGCGTGGGGAACACAAAGCTTAACTGTGTCCCCCACCAACGCTTGAGATTTCGTATGGCTGGAGATTATTATTAAAATTTACAAACGTAGTGAATGAAACTAACTCAGTTGTTTTATATCAAAATGGTGAAAGAGCGAACATCTGAGGTTGTGCGTTTTAGTGACGATTGACGAGAGATTGTGCAGGGCGGAAGATGTAAACATACCTAAAGTTTCAAATGAAGCCTCAACAGTGTTTGTGTGTTGGAAAGCGCCGAATGAAGCGATTACGATGGTGTAACTGAGTTATAACAAACTGCGCTTTAAAATACAGCCTGGATTGATCTGTTATTTCCTTTGGTATTAAAATATACGTCTCGTTTGTTGACAGAGGATTCTTTTAAGTATCAGTGTCAAGAACGTGATTAAGAAATTGTGTTTCAGGATCATTCTGTTGTCCACTGAGCGTTTTATATTCAACATTTAAGTGCAATGTAAACGTTATCTGTGCTCTAAATTCAGAATGTATTAGAATTCAAGTTCCATGTTTATGTGCATTCCTTTCAGTTTGTCTGAAGTTTGTCTTCGCGAGTTTGTTATTTTGTGTCTAGCGTGCTTGAGAGAACGGTTGTCATGTAGCATTACCACTTGTGACGTATGTGACATAGTGGTGGAGCTGGTACAGTTAGTTCTTCAGTCTGATTCAGAATACACGTATTCTTTCGTATACATTCAGCGTCAAGGATTTTTTTCCTAGTTGCACGTGACAACTTTAATAAAGTCAGTGTTTAATACCCGTTGAATGTTATGAAAAGTAAAGTAATGTTATCGCACATAAGCTTTAATTCTCAATTAATGTTTTGTAGCACATTATCATCAAATCAGCGTTGTATATAGGCCTTTATATACGTATATATATATATATATATATATATATATACACACACACATATATATATATGCAGGAGAAAAAAAATGTTGGCCAGTTTTTATCAGACAGGCAAAATTTATACTCGCCAGACATTTCCTGTACAACAAAATTAGTCACGAACAGTTGTCGGCAAACAACTGATTACAACTGACTTATACGATGGAGAGGCGAGTCAATTCTGTCTGCATTTCCAAACTGTAGAGTTGAAGCTAAGAGAGGGATCATTCACACAGTTATGCTGGCGAATTGTATTTCGCTCTAATCGTTTTCCTACATACCGACGTTTAGATACGTTAGTGTGGAGAAATCATAGGGGAACGGAAGACAGTACTGGAGGAGGAGGAAGACAAAGAAGAAAGGGAAAGAAAGAAAGAAAGAAAGACCCGTCATGGACGAACCACAAGTGTTTGTCGATGACTCGAATATATGCCATTTCCGACATGACGTGGATGGTTGTCTACGCTTTTCTGCATGTAGAGGCTTTGCGATGTGCCGATCACGGGTTCAGTGAGACCTGCCAAATGTTTAAAATGATTCACAGTTTCACAATTCTGAAGCGGAACCGGCCAAAAGGCCTAAACCTTGAGAAAGGACCAAGAAGCTGCTGAAACAGAGAACGTCTGTGCATCACTATTTATAACGAAAGTTCCATAGGCCTGGTGTTGGTGTAGTGAATGAGTAGTCAACCGGACGGACGTTCTATCTACGCCTGCAGTGTACAAGACGTGCCTGAACTTACGAAGAATACTGCTCGAAAACGTAACTTCGAATACACACCAATGTCCTACAATATGCTGCGATGTAATTTTGTCAATAAGAAATTATTTTTATTGTAATTGAATGAGCAGAATTCGCCGACGTTAACCACATGAAATGAACATGTCCGAAATCGTGATTCAAACGTGGAACATTGATTTTACTTGAATGCAATAACTTTTTAATACATCCACCATCTATCTCAAGGAATATTTGTAGATGAAACACGTTCTTTGGATCATCCTTAACATACATGCGTTGATAGTTCTTGGGTCTATTTGCAGCAAATATCTTCAGTTAGGTAACGGAAATGAGCTATTAATTTTGTAGCGTCCACCTGCCTTTCGATGAAACTGATTCTGGTGGATTAACAGAAGTTACGGGTTTGACGCCTCACTGACGTCGCTTCGAGACAGGGGTGTGTGCAGATTTCTCGCTGAGTTGGCGAGTCTTAAAATACCAATGGGCCCTGGGCCCACCGCCACTGGCAGATGTTGCACCCACGGCATGATTCTGTGCACGTGTATCTGTGATGTTGGTTGTTTAAGAAACTCGTGTGATTGCCGTTGGGAATTTGTAAACAGAATTTAATTTAGCGCTCATTTGAATTTTACCTTTTCGCGATTTATTATTTTCGTGAAATCTTATAATATTTCGCTGCGTTGAGCGAAACTTTCTGCTAGAAGTGTGATGTAACCTGTCACAGAAGAGAGTGCTGTTTTCTTTGAGGACGCTGATGGTCTCTTGAGGATGAGAAAGCAAGGGGAAGTTTTATGTACAGTGCGGCGAGAAATCATCAGGATTGTGTTCTGCCAAACCGTTTTCGTACCAGTGCAGGCGGTGTAATGTGTACTCATTTCCTTTAATATTCTACCACATCTTCCTTCTCCGTCAAGATTTTTTCTTTTTCTAGCTTTTCGTCTTGATCATTTTTGTTTGTTACACTTGGGCTGTATCCTGCCCAGTTCTTATCAGCTTACGTCAGGCAATAACAAATCAGAAGTTTGTTTCTCATACCAGTAATAACGAAACAGACTTACCCGGTGTAAACCCCCGTCCAGTGACTTTTGCGAACCGTATAATGAAGTTTGCAGCATCGGTCTTGTTATATATAATAAGGCGAGGGACGAAGACTCAGTGCTTTTTCGCATTTTCATTTCTTATTTACACATTTTAAAAATGTTTGTTTTGCCATCACGTGCAGCTGTATGAAATACGAATGTTCATTACCGTGTTTACAAGAGCCCACTTGTGGACCCTTACCAAAGCCAGTTGGATTCAGTTCGCACTATTACGGTCTGTTTCTTTAAAATCTGTTCGTCTTGTGCAACTCTTGTTATATCTGGTTGTGTAGTCACGCTAAATATAAATTGTCGAAATATCTTGCTGCTAATTCTAATAACCACATTCCTGTTTTAGTCCTGCAAAAGAATCCATGTTATTCCGAGGCTCTGCAACATTTCCCATCATACTAGGTGTCTCTCCTACCCCGCAAGATTTGCTCGCCAAAGGACTGCGTACTGGACGTATTTGAAGCTGTTTTACCTGTGTCTGAGGTTCATCTTCTCAATCCTCAGTCTGAATAAGCGCCACGCGATGATGACGGAGAGTTGGTTACCCGCGTGCCTTATGACCATTAGTTGCCGATGGGATCACAGATCGCTCTGCAGTGCACGCATGTAAAGATTTCGGTGGACCGTATTGCGCAAGTTACTCGGTAGATGGCAGCACGAGGATTTTATCGTGATACGTGTTGCTATGCTACCAGGCCTCTCACAGCATCGATTAAGACATGCGTACAAATAGTTGGATAACACACTATTCGTTCCGAAGACATTGATCCGTTCGACTGCCGTTGCGGCATGTCTTGTCATGGAATTTGCTGGGTCTTCACTGCCTTTAAAAATCACGTTCTTTGTCTCTGTCCCTTTTAGACAATGTCGTCAGGTAGAGTCGCTTTGTTGACGAAACTCTGGGTTTTAGCGCCGTGTAGACGCTCGTTGGCAAATGTAAACGCGGAGGAGAAACACACACTCCATCTTCGGGGCTGAAGTAAGGGAAGACTGAAGGAATAGCTCACTTTCCTTTCCAATTTTCGTGCTTGTTTCCGTCTTCTTTATTGCCTTCCTCCTCTTTTGTTGTCTTCTTACCCTAATATTCAGTTTTCTAGATGTTATAATCGAACTGATAATTATGAAATTATGGATATTATTCCCACACATTCGGGAGATTACTGACTGTTGCTATAGGCCTATTATAATTTTTCTCTGGAATATTTTTAGAATACTGTTTTACCGTATTTACTAGAATTTAATGCATCACAGAATTCAGTGAGCATCCCAGTCTCGAAGAAAGCCCTTTTCCCCGTGTTTTGTACAGAATTTTTTATTTTTAAATACAGAAGTCAAACATCGATAAATTCAACTTCTTTTGGCAGTCTTCACATAATTTTTGGGCATATTTTACTTTAAGAAATATTTTTTCTGGAAATTTATTTTTCAGGTACGCATTATGATCGGTCGTATATCATACTAAGTCTACGGAATCCACAGGTCTGTTGCCGCAAACACCACTCCGGATATGTTGGAACGTTGTGACACGTGTTACGTCCTAAAGTCAAAAGTGTGTGTTGATTTTTTACTCTTGTATTCAAAATGTCGGGATGACCTTTGCAGGATCTGCAGAATTGAAATTACCTTTTTTGAAGCTTCGTTGAACATCAACACAGGCAGTAGTCACGTCGGAAAGTTGGTCAGTTTCTACCAGGCTGGACGGCGCAGCATTCCAGGAGACATTCATCTTCATACAATTTGCCGAGAGAACTAGAAATCTCACCTTCATGAAAACTTGCTGAACGTAGAGAAGAAATGTTCCTTCGAGACAGACGAAGAACTCATTTACCAACTCACCTTGTATTATAATTAATGTTGGAATCGTACTCGCTCTAATGGGTTTTCGCTGCGCTCTGTCATATGGTTGTTGACTTGGCAACGCTGTCTCTGGTGCGGAAGCGACGAACTTGTGTACAATAGCTGATAGAGATTTCTGTGGTTGGAGAGTTCTATTTTCATCATCAAGTATACGTGGCATGGAGAAGTGTTTTACGCAATATTTGTTATTGTCTTGCACGCGGATAGGCACGTTTAAAATTCTGGCACTGGTCATCTGTATCCGAAAGTAGGCAACCGGTCGCCTCTTCGAATCATACCAATGCCAAGTGTCTCCTTCTCGGACTGGTCCACTGACACTTTGCGAAGCTCCCAGCGATATCTTTATATCGCTATAATGGCGAAGAAATGGGCTTGCCCCACGTTACACCTACGTGCAAGGAATGCGAACATATTTCGTGGGACGAAAACATTGGGTTAGAAGAGTTTGAAATTTTTGCAGATAAGTAAACGCTTAATTGCGATCCGTAGGGTCGTTGACCCTTGCGAGATTTCACAGAGGTCTCCGTGCGATTAACCTGCACAGCAATGGATGGGTGTTCAAAAACGTTACCTGCCTTCTTCCCGTTAACCCTTCTGACCTCTCATTTACACGTTTTGTGACGAAGAGCACCAGAAAATACGTGTTTTTGGCACAACATCTTTTTCTTCGCTTTCTAAGAGCAAACTTTAATTGATCTCCTGCTTCCATGTCCACCATTCATTTATTGCAAATGGTTGGTTCTTAAAGCCCAGTGCAAGGGATAGTAAAGATACTTTTTTCTGTGTCCAATCTCAAGACGCGAAGGTAATACAGGGCGTGCGGTTAAAACGCAATAATTTTAACCACGGCAGTTGATGTAGGTAATTGACTAAATTCGTGCTCAGTTTTGCTATTTGGGAAACGGAATAATGGTGGATAGAAGTTCGTTGATGTGTATGGATTTGAGGCTGATATTAACTTTTTATGCTATGAAATGTGTTGTGACAAAGCCAGCAGGACAAAATTATTGTTGGTGAACTTAGTTTGGATGTTGTGTATTGGCAGAATTTTAGAACTTAAAATTCTAAAAATTGATACGTCTCGGAAGTCGGCTGTGCCTCTAGATTTAAATGAAGTAGGCCTAACGAAGAGGGGAAGGGAATATATATCTCGTTTGACCGAGGAGTGTTGGTGGCGAACGTCAGAAACTGCCATATTTACTGGTGCAATCTCATTTTTTGCCTCAGATCTCCTGTAGAGCCTTCCCAGGATGGTAAAAATCTGCATCACTTTGTCAGACGAGATTGACCATAGGTCTCCTCAGTCCCAAAAAAGACGCCCTAACAATGATTACACACTACTACCACCCGAATTTTAGAATATCACAAAATTCAGAGATTGATTTTGTATACAATTCTTCAGGTTTTCAAAGGAGATCTTCATAAACATAGGAAATGTATATATGGTTCTTTTGAACGTTTATGTTTCTTTAACTAACAACATTGATTAGTTATGATACATCGATAGACTAATTTCCACGCACTGGAACACAGCGGAACCGATCAGATAAAAAATCCATCGTTTGCTTGCTCCATCCATCCATCCAGGCTCTCACGGCCATCGCAAGCCTCAGCTATCTGCTTTTGTGTTTTTTTTTCAAAGTGTTAGCGGTGAACGCTCCGCCCTTGGCAACACTTATGATCGTGTTAGTAGATAAGGTCGAAGTTGGTGTGAGGGATTTCAAAGTAGATACCATTCCGAACATAAGAGAAACACGTTGGCAGAGTCGACGGAGTACGAATTTCATAGCTAATGAGATGCACACAAAAATTTTATGACTATTATCTCGAAACATATATTCTTATTCCCCGAAGAATATCGACGTCCGGGCGATTGTCAGGTGCCAGTACGACGTAACTGAACGAGGATCATTTGTTGTTTTCAGTAGGAATATAATTGTCTGTACGGAGAAGAGTGGGCGCTGGTAAAGCTGTTCATAATTCGCTGGCTCTGATTTAGGAAACCTTGCGCCAGCCACGCCCACTCTGTCGGTTAACCGGCAAGGTTGAATGTTTTCAGCATGGAATGTACAGTCGGCTGCGGTCTGCAACAAGAGAAAAAGAGTTTGGGCATGCGCGCATAGTGACAATTGCCTGCCGTTTACAGTGACAGATGAATGTCGATTGTGCGCTGTTTCTAACTTGTTTTTGTTACCCTTTTTTGTGCATGTGTAGTATTTTATCCGAGGAGTAAAGTCCGATGCGCGAACTTGTGGTGATATCTCGGGGGTTGCTGTGCGTATTGATTGGCTCAGACTGAGGGGCCTTGATGTTGTTCCGCCGTGTTTGGGATACCACGACAGACAGCAACAGCAGCAGTACTGCCACTTCTGCTGGGGGGTCCTCCTCTTCGGCTAACATCTTCGCGGTCTGGTACACCAAACTCGCGACCAATGTCAAACGCAACAGGGGCGGCACCTCGTCCCCGAAGTCAGCGCTGAAAAGGGCCCTGGTACGTACCAACAGGTAACGCGAGGCAAATGACTGCTCCAGGTTGTATTGAAACAGCCCCAACAATGGCGTCTTGATGGTATTGTTCGTGAAAAGAACGGTCGTCAGCTGTTAGAAGTTGTAACCGTATTTTTTTTTAAAAAAAATTTCGTGAGTGAAAACTGAAATACATAAAGTACTTTTGCCCTTCGCTGGTGTTCTAGATTTCTTTTTATTAACGAGAGTTATTTATGGTGTAGGCGTATTTAACTATAGGATAATGTCATCGTGTGTGTTTTCTTATGGTGGTTTTTGTGCGACATTTTTATCTATCCAGGTTACGCGGCTTCGTTTGAAATACAGCGGGGAGAGGAATTGGAAAGGATGCGAAGTGGCCGTGGCGTGTTTAAAGATATTATTCCGGCGTTCCTTACAGGAACCGAGGGAAATATAAGTTGTTAAAGAATAAATCTGTTGAGCGTTGCGTAACTGTGTAGGTGTTTAGTCTTGGCAGATAACACAAACTTCGTGTTCAAATTACATATTTATGGAATTTTACATATACTATTAATTGTGAATAAAAATTACAATTGGTTGTCATGTTGAATGTGCCCATGAATGAGGTTTTATCGAAGGTTGCATGCTAGTAGATTTTGCTGATGCGAGAGTCAGTACAGTAGGCAGAACCCCTCTCGGCGTCGGGTTTCGCTCCCCGGGCAGCCATAAGACGTCAGAACCTACCAGTGTTTACAGCTGTCGTGCTTGTAAAACGTGGCGCACGACCTTGCTGAAGGTCGAAGGTTATCTCAACAGTAGACCAAATTTATCTGCAGCCAGAAACGCTTGAGCTGCTCAGTGTACGGCATTGCTTTCCGTGTTTTGAGACAGATGCCTAGTGCTTCCGGAATTCCTTCATTGTTTTTATGCTACAGTTCTACTGCGTTGCGTTCCTGAGAAATTGACAGCACGATAAATCGTGAAAATATGGAACAGACTGTACCTTTTGGCACTTTGCACTGTCCCAGAGAATTTAGCACTCTGAAATATGTTTCCCTTTCTCTGTATCGGTAACGATACTTTGTTATTAAATACTGAAATTTGTGTTGGACAAGATAAACGTAAAAAGCACAAAATGACTGAACTTTTGCATCAAAGGAAATTCGGATGGTTACACATTTTACACGTTTACTTATATCAGTTCTTTACCTACTTTGGTTAGAAAGCAACAGTTGTTTTTCACATTTATAACCAGCCTAACATCACAGAAATTGGCTTGGTTCCTGCCGACTTTATGCAAAGGGTTCCGTGAAAACCGTAGTTCTTTGTGCGATGGCGTGTTTACGTATGACCTCGGATATCTTGAAGTTGGCTGACCTAGCCTTAGAAGTTCACGCGGTTTCCATGTTGATGTTTACGACAGAGTGAGTATGAAGATTTCTGTCTTCTGGGTTCTTGAGCTGTGTAGTCTGGTCGATGTTTACCAACGTTTCAGAGGTCATCCTGCCTCCGTCATCAGGGCGATGAGTATGAAGATTTCTGTCTTCTGGGTTCTTGAGCTGTGTAGTCTGGTCGATGTTTACCAACGTTTCAGAGGTCATCCTGCCTCCGTCATCAGGGCGATGAGTATGAAGATTTCTGTCTTCTGGGTTCTTGAGCTGTGTAGTCTGGTCGATGTTTACCAACGTTTCAGAGGTCATCCTGCCTCCGTCATCAGGGCGATGAGTATGAAGATTTCTGTCTTCTGGGTTCTTGAGCTGTGTAGTCTGGTCGATGTTTACCAACGTTTCAGAGGTCATCCTGCCTCCGTCATCAGGGCGATGAGTATGAAGATTTCTGTCTTCTGGGTTCTTGAGCTGTGTAGTCTGGTCGATGTTTACCAACGTTTCAGAGGTCATCCTGCCTCCGTCATCAGGGCGATGAGTATGAAGATTTCTGTCTTCTGGGTTCTTGAGCTGTGTAGTCTGGTCGATGTTTACCAACATTTGAGAGGTTTTCGCTGCCACCATCATCAGGGTCGCAGATACTTCCGAGGTATCAAATGGTATTATGCAGATGACGTAGTCTACACGAAGCAAATGGTTTGGTAATGTCAGGTATACTGAGAATGTTTGGTTCCAAGAAAATGCTGCCTAATTTTGACTATGCCCGTGTAAATGACGGTGAAGCCATAAGAGCTGCCTACATCATTTTGGGATAAAAAGAGTAGCTCAAACAAAGTATTTTGCATAAGGGAAGGGGTGTTTTAAACTGAATATGTCGTCTATCAAGAAGGGTGTTTTAGACTAAATTAAAACAAGAAATACGACCCAAGAATGTGATTGACGTAATGAAAGAAGTACCGTAATAGCATTGCGAGCTGAACCTTGTAGAGCTGATGTGCCCAGGTCAAGGGTACTTGACAGAACAGAATGAAACCTTCAAGTTGGATGGGTTAAAAGCCTCCTGCAGGAAAGTGGGACAATTATCTTCGTCAGGGCACAAAAGTAAAAGTTGCGATTCGGTGTCGTGGATCATAGGATGGAAAGTATCGACGTAGTGACCTTCAGTGTTGGGATGATGATTAAGGACGGAAACTGACGTTAAGAGGTGAGTTGCTGCATTATATGTCTCTGTTTTATTCATTTAATCTTAATAAGACAGATCATGCCTAGCTTAATTCACAATCTCATTCTGGGCAGATGTCGGCACTGGGATTTCCTGTTGTCGCTTAGAACGACGAGAATAAGGATGCTGTGAACTATGCGTTAAACGCATCCTGTTTCCTGCATTGTGTTTGCTTACATGCGCTTCGTAGATAATCTGAAATTATTTTGCCAAAAACGAGAAAAGTTTTGCCGATCCCGCATTATTAATGACTAGTTCGAGAATTTCAGATTTTCGTTTTGTCCGTATTACATATCTCATTCCCCCGCTGCAGTGTAAAATCTTCAAAAAGTTTGGTCTTACCCTTTTCTTGTTCAGTTTTAATTTCGTGGTGACTTGTAATCCGCACTGTTTCTTAAACTGATCTTCGAAATACGGAATAAATTCTAATCAGTGCGTAGCACGGAAATGGAGAAAATGTGTCCCTTTCCATGGCCCTATCTCCGGAACTACCTAGAACAGCGGTTTTCAACCTTTTATGCAGGATTTAAAAAAGAATATAATCTGATTGGGTCAATACATGTTCCGTTCACATGTCATGCCTTTTAAAGGCCACCCAGAAAATATGTTGTAATACCGTATATTCGGCGATTTCAACATGACTGCCGCGCGAACTTTAACGGGTGAATGAGCAATATTCCATTACAGTAGCTTACAATAGATTTTATGAAAGTATCACACATTGATACCTTGACAGAGAGGGCTTACAGTCTCATTAGGAGGTAAACATTTGTCGGAATGTTTTGTAAAATTGTTTTTTAGACTTTGTCCATCGTCTGAATTATAAGTCTACAGCGTTTCGAAAGCTAGACCAAAAAGAGAATGCAGTTTTTTTAATTTTATGATCTATACGATGGACAGAGTCCAAAAGAACAGTTTTATACGTTAAATGCTCCATTTTCAGGAGGGTGTGCGTTGATTGTGGTTGTGTCGATCTTGAAACTGCACTACTTTAGATCTCGCAGCAATATACACGTGACTGAGTAAACATGGCGACTGCATGTTAAACTTCTGCTCTTGATACTTCTCCAGATTTGTGGGCCGACTGGGCCAATAGTAGAGCCGATGCGTAAGCACAATTGTGCCAGGATAGAAAAATGTCCGGTGTCTCTGACGAAAATTGAGAAAACCACATTTGATCTGAAACGTTCTTTCGGCCATCCCGCGCTCACGTTGAGACTGTTTTGTCTCTTCATATTTTGTGCATTCAGATTTGCCGGTATTGACTCTGTGCTGATAGTAGTTACATTCTTAAATGTGTTTTCCATGTTACGTAATCTGTTTATAGACTTCAGGAATTCTGTGATTGAATTAGAACTGAAGTGTGGGAATAATTTGGCAACACTCTAATTGCATTTGGAACGCCCAGAAACCTTGTTAAGCTAATTAAAATGTGTTTCATACGTTTCCAGTTTACAAAGGTCTAAATGAAAAGATGCTTTACCTATATTCTTTTTAATCTTCTGCATTGTTTATTTACGAAGCGAAGCGAACAGTGAAGGTATGTAACAGCCACCATAACAGGTGACATCCCAAGACGACGGATGTCCGTTGAGTGGTTGGCGCGAATTGTCACGTGGTAGGGGTTGAAACCAATCATCATTGGTCATATTTCGTTATCAGTGCTGTACACTTTCTGTGACGGTTTTTAACAACTTTATACACCCTCACCACACCACTCGTAGAAGCGAGTTCTGTGCAAGTGATGGTTGAACGTGAAGGGTTTTAAATGGAAGAACAGAGTCTGAAGAACCATGTTCGCACACAAGTTAGGGACTTCATTTTCAAGATGCTTCGCCATTTCAAGCGTAAGCGGACTGGGTTGATTCAGTGTACAGAATTACGTAGTCATACTTCAGAGGCATGTGGTTTTGGACCGAGGACGGTGCAGCGATCTCATAGCGAGGAGAACTGGGAGTGGAATAAGACGATGGTAATAAACAATAATACGAGGGCAGTAGAAATGTTTGGACGATATTATTGTGAACTCTTAGGTTCTCCCGCCGGCGAGTATGAAGATGGCTGGCTGCTGAGTTTTTGCGCCGTGTAGTCTGATTGAACTGTACGTTTCTGAAGTGTTTGCCCTGATGATGGAGACAGCGAACACCTCTGAAACGTCGGTAGAGTTCTACCCATAAGACAGTCATCTCGTATTTGTATCTGCCTCATGCTGTCAGCCCTGTGTCTCTTTGTGTTGTATACATATACGTTGCTGGTCTTGGGCCGGTATCGGCAAACATTACCACGAACCAAAGCGGACATTTGACGCAGATTACAAGTGTGTAGGTATAAATGAAGGAAATTACGTCCAGTAATGTTGTAACGACGCTATTAAACCGATAAAAGATCCATTAGACCCATAAAGTATCGATATTACACTGCAAGATATGGTAGAACCTAGGAGCACAACTGGTTGTTGTTCTGCCATGAGAAGCAGAAATGTCGTTCTCGGCAGTTTAAAAATCAGTTTGTTGCTGTTCTAGCAATTACGTAATGGTGTGTTTGTTTTCTTTTCCTGATAAAATGTAGTAAAACGGGAAAATATTGCAACAGTATAATTTTTGTTGTCGCCGTCCACAGTTTTAAATTGGCTTCTGATATACATTGTCCCAAAGATGCAGTGGGAAATACAGTCTTGTAATACCGCATATATCGAACAGGATATATCATGTACACGAGGAAGCATTTTGGCCAGTTCTAATAGAGATGAGATGGGGTGGAATTGTTTCTTTTTCTCATATTTCAATAGGTTAATTATCACTTCTTCCAAGCTTCCATATTCTTTCATGTATTGTGTCAAATCTTCGTCGGTCTGTTTATTTATAATAGGATTGCAACTGCACTCAGGCGTAACTGATGATATTGTTTATTGTGATGACGATGGTGGTGTCAAATGATCGAGGGGGCGTAGGGGTTGAATGAAAATTGTAATCTGTGAGGGGGTGGTTAGGTCATGTGAAGTTCAGAAATGCCGCGGAAGGCAAGCGAAGAGGCAATTCATCATTCAGTGTTTGTAGTACCTGTGATTCATTGCAATATAAACATCAGTTGGGTTTGGGTGAATTTCTTTGCGATCAACACATATATCTTCAGCACTGACATTGTTGTTTTGTTTATTACAGCTTCCAGTGGCGGACCCTTTCCTGGAGAAGGTCAGCATCTCCGATCTTGGTGAGTTACGTTATCATATCACTAATGAGAAGAATGGTTAACAAACAAATGGCAGGGTATGACGATTTGTGATATTTAAGTACGTCATGTTTTGTATTTATCACAAAATTGCCTTACTCTTGGATTTGAACTTTGGAATTTACCCGGAATACTTGGTCGTATAGGCTGCTCTGGTTAGTTCTGGGTCAGATTGCTACTGTTTCTTCCCAACATCCCTTCCAATTAAACTACAGGATATTCCAAAAAATATGCACAATTAGGAGTATTAATTAACCTTGCTGTCGATCTATGTGTTGTGTTTCCGGAAGACATCGACGCTGGTCAATGTCATTGTGATTTTGTGGGAAAACCGTTGGACAAACTCCTATGTTTAAATATTGTAGCTAGGTTTGTGGATATGGACCTTAAATATATCTACAATTTATTCATGAATATTGTGTGTATCAGGATCTGTACCTGCCCGTACCAGCTTTCTGCCCTAAACACCACGGTTCATTTCTTGGAATTTGTGATTCAGGGGGGCGGAAAACAGTTACGTCGAGCTGCAAGAGGGTGGCGTACTCTGCTGGGTTTGTTTTCATCGCCTCTGTCAGTGGCGTTGCCAAGTAACGGCAATCATTTGTTTTTGGCAGTGATGGGGTTTATTTTTGCACAGCCGTCAAGCAGTCAGGATGGTAGGTGTGTGTCGCTAAATTTAGCGTTGGCTGCTGCTCGAACGGAGCGCCGCTCACGGCCTGTGTCCGCTGCCGGGACCACTGCAGTCATTGTTGAGCGTATTGTTGTTGTGTGTGTGTGTTGACTATGACGTCACGATGCTGCGGCTGCACTACTATTCGAATGTTGTGAGGCTTCGTCTTCAGTCCATCGATGAAGACGACGAGGTGTATAGCTTGGATCAGATCAAGGAGTTTGAGGATGTGAGTCGTGCTTGGAAGGAGGCCTTGGCAGAGCATCTCTTGCAAGGTATCGCGAGACTGTCTCATTGGACAGCTGTCGAGCCACCTAGTGGCCTTCTGTTAAGCAGAGGAGTTTGTTGTTGGTTGTAATCTCGTGGAAGTACTCGAGATGTCAGACGAAGTTGTTCGCCAAGTGACTGTTTAGCGGTCTCGCGTATCGTGACCACGTCCATTGAACGGCTACGCTGTTTCTTATGGCAACACTGCCACGTGGGCAGATTAGTCGCTCTATGGGAATTAGGCTGTCGGCAGATTCGAATCCCAGGATCTGTTACTGAGTTAGAACCAGGTCTGGAATTGGAAAATGCTTATGTGGTCAATAGTTGTTAAGGAATTCCGCTGTTAAACAGACGCGTTATCGAAACACGCGTGCGTTCTGCGTTCTGCGTTCGGGAAAGAATGCATCAGAACGAAGGAGTGGTAGGAAAAACAAACACTTGACGTTTTGGTGGGCTAGGATGCACATGGTTTCTGTTTCGTCCACTTAAACGGAACTCGCCGGGCGAGTTCGCGCTCGGGGACGTCGTGTTTGTAGTTGCCTTGTGATTTATTGGTTTAGGTCATAATACAGTTTGAACAGTAAAGATTAGCGTCGAATGTGATGGAAAGATTACCATGTATTGTGAACAAGATTTTGGCTAAAGGTGATAGTTGCCCATGTGACGTATCTTGCATTTGGCAGGAAGACTGAGGAAAACCACGAACCCTACTCCAAGTAACACAACATATATTCGGGCTTTCGTGTGTAAGTCTGAATTGTTACTGCTTTGTATAGCGCGGTGATTCTGACCTGGCGGTGGCCTGGAATTCCATTTGAGCCAAGCGGTTTCGAAAACCAGGTCAAATCTATTATTGGCGGTAGCCCCAAGAAAAAATGTTTAGGGCCATTTTTGGGACAAAGTGACGCCATTTTTCTTACCGTCCGTAGTAAATATTCCATCCTGACACTGGGCACTGAGTATTTACATCTGGTGTCGACTGTGGACCAGACGAGTAGAATTTGCTGTCACCCTCCAACTCATGGACCCCCGCTAATTCTTATTTTGTGTGTAAATTTTTAGGGGTAGAATCCGGCCATTTGTTTTAGAGCTCTCCACATATTCACCTCTTACTTCAGGACTTCAGGGACGACCTAGAAAGAAAAATTGAGGTGCGAACCTGTACCCAAGGGCCGAGATGAATACGACCTCTAAGCTGCTTGTATCCCGTGATCACAGATTCATATTTGTGTTTTATCATAGGCCTCTTACGTCACAGAACTGTAGCTGACCTTTTCACAGAACTGCGAAATGGCAGACTCTGTATTGTTAACCAAATCAGAATTTATTGATTGGTGTATAATTTAATAATGGCGATGCATCATTTTCTACAGAAGTTATTTTTTATGGAGTTAATATAACCTGTTAACAGCGTTATGTAGCCTGGAATGAGATGAGAGGATGGTTATGAACGGTGAGTCTAAAGAGTTGGTTGATTAAGGGCACGTCTGCATTTTCTATAGGAAGTCAGATCAAAACCGTGAAGTTTCATGTTGATTTTGGTGGTTCCTGCTGGTTATATTTTCTCTCCACTATATTGCAAAGACTGGATTGTTTGTCACAAATAATAGAGTGCTCCATTGTAGTTGAGGTTGGCATGTGGGCAGGAGAGGCGTATTTCATGTCTTGCCTTTTACGCCCACATGTATGAAAATTTAGTAGGAAATGACGGTGGTTTGTTTGATACAATTCCAGAGTTTGTCTGGGAAAAATGAATAAGGAAAGTTGTTGGTGAAGTTGCGCAGGGCAGGTCTTATCAGATTTCTCCCATTTATAATGCTGATCAAACCATGTTTCTTTCGACGTTATTGACTACTTGGTTGTTGTCATTCTCATACTGAGCGCCTTGTACATGAACAACACGCTCGTTTTCAAGTCTGCCAGATGGCTGACATTTTAATGGCGGAGTCTACCTTGAGAATGTGTGGACCGTGTCTGGTTTCGAACTAGGCACAGACAGATACCAGATTGGCCAAGCAGTGCCATGCCTGTCAGGATTGACTTATATATATTACATCAATGTGCGTTTATCCGTCTTCTAAGAGAAGGCTTGTAGAGCGGACTGGTGAGGATTGAATTGGTCACTTCTAAAGGGTTCTGAAGGTGGCGTATTGTGATTACTTTTACTGGATCTCTTTGTTAGCCCACTGATTGGTATTCAGAAAATAACACAGTGTTTCGGCCCAGTGACTGATGTTTGCTCCTTCTAACGAATCAAACTGAAGAAAAGTCTCATACACATTACAGTATATTGAAATGTGGACATCTAATACAGGAAAAAGCTGTATAGCATGGTTAAGATGTGAGAATATCATGAAGTATTGGAACACTTGGCCATTGTCTGTTTTTAAATATTTCAGAACTCATCAGAACGGATAAGAGGGAATAGTGACATCATTGGATAGTGGCCAAGATTCGAACCAAGTATCTCCAAAATACAAGCCAGATATATAGAAACTGCTGATTAACAGTTTGTCTTCCAAAATCTTGTTGGATATTTCCAACACGATCACCAAGATATTGGAGATCTGATTTTTTGTGAATCATTTTCCATTTTTATCAAACCACTGAGAACTTAAAGAATAAGACAGGCATAAAATGTCCTATTCTTTTTCATAAGATTTTGGTATATGCCACTTGACAGCAAGGCCACTTGGTTAATACATCAAACAGGCATCTTTTTGAGATAATGTAACAGTGCATGTAAAATGACAGAAACAAGCCTGTTTTGCGCTCTGTTTCAGAAGACGTCCCTTGCACTGAAATGTAAAATGACCTGATCCTTGTTTCTTAACCCCATACTAACGTTATGGAGCAGAAGCAGTCGTTGCTTGGCTAGTCGAGTTAAGCCATGCGGCTAGCCTGTATGGAAGTCGAAGGTTTATTACTGCGTTAACAAGTGCCTGCCACTGTTTTATATGGTGACCCAGATTAAATCCAATCCGCTTCCTCTGATCCCATTTCCTGAAGATCCATTTTAATATTGTATTACCACCTATGCCAGTGCCTTTCATTCAGACTTCCCAACGAACATTTTTATGCATTTTATCTCCCCTACATGTGCTACGTGGCCCATCCATATCATTTTCCTTCTTTTGGTCTTTCTACTTATATATGGTGAAGAGTACAAAGATGGCTTTGTGTCGATTAACAGTGCTTTCTCAACTCCTTACATTTTGTGATACAGAGAATGGGGATGATCAAGAAGGAGGATGTGGAAAAAGCAGTTGAGGCATTGTCCCTTTGTACAGCTGTGCAAAGTGATACATTTTCCTACACAGTTCTTGTAAAATTAGTTGTTTATCTGGTGTGACTGATATATTCTTTTAGTAATTGTGTTTGATTATCCAGTCAGTCATGTCCAAAATGTAACTCTTCCTCGACAGATTTTTTCTCATCTAATTCCTTCGTTGGTGTATTTGATTCTAAGTGTTTTTAAAATTTGGTTTGCACACTGTTGCAGTGGAAGATGAGAGCCAGATCTTTGTCAAGTTCTTCAAGTTCCACAAGTGCTATGACTTGATCCCTACCAGTGCCAAGCTCGTCGTGTTTGATACACAGCTGCTGGTTAAGAAGGCATTCTTTGCCCTTGTCTACAATGGTACGTGTGTGGAAATTTTATAAAAATGTTTCATGTCGCAAGCATTTTATCTGCGGTATGGGATCTGTTACTGTGTGAAGCAGAAGTTCTAGATTTGTCAGTTTGACCACATTCTTTTCTCAGGTATCATAAAAATAACCCTTCATGGAATAAATAATGATTTATTAAATCAGTGTCTTAAGTACGTCAGATTTAAGTTTGCAGTGTCCAGATCATGCTTAAAACAAAATATTGCGCACAAACCTAATTTACTCATAAACTGTGAATTTTTTTCAAGCCTGATTCTAAAAATGGAATTGGTTCTTTTACATACATTTGTTTTAATGGGTAAATTTACCACTCTAATGCTTCACTGACTTAATAAGATATCCAGTATAGATATTTAATATATATATATAAAGCTTTCTTCTCTTGTAAAAGTTGCCAACCATTAACTGTTATGAGGATAACAAACAGCTTGCAGAATTTCTGTGATTATACTGATGGAAGTGCTAGATCTTCAAAGCAGTCTAAAATACTATGTTGAATACGTGAATCCATAGTGATTAAAAAGGTTATACAAAGCTAGGAAAGTCAAAATGGCAGAATTTTGTGTGTGTGTGTGTTTGTAGCACTGTTGAAAGCAACAGATATGAAGAAAATATGCAGTAAAATATTCAGCCCACTAGTTTCTCAAAATGTTGTATTTAATCCAGTTAGTTTATATTGAATGACTTCTATTTAAAAATGCGTGTAGGTATGTTTGGGATTGTTTGTGAAAGTCCCTAACGTAAATGCTCTACATGTTTTATCCACTAGTGAACTTCTACACTGAAGGTGTGCTTGGCACCTAATTTGAGATTTGTGCCATTTCAAGATCCTTAAATGAACTTTCGTAACTTCTTTTTGGCCGCAGAATGTGACAGAGATTAACTTCATTTATTAGGGCTTGGGGTGAAGAATTAAATTTACCTTATTGCCTCCGAATGGCGATAGGTAGAATATATAATGAAGAATTGACTAGTCAAACCTGTTTCCGCTCAAAATAGAATTGTAGAAAACCACAGTATTTGATTTTATGAAACCACTTCATTACCATACACACATGTACTATACAAGAAATTTGACTTTCTTTTTGTAAGGAGCAAGATTTTTCAGATCCAGCATGATGGTGATGTGAAATATATTTTTATTTTCTGTTTGATGAAAATAACTAATAAAACTCGTAGATGAGAAGGAATGGATTACTGAGTGATATCATCGAAGGCCAAATTGAAGGAAAGCGAGGACTTGGAAGAAGACTGATACAGCTAACCGACGATCTTAAACAAGGAAAGAAGATGAAGTTTCAGAAGTTAAAACGAGAAGCTGAGAATAGGGAAAACTGGAGAGCTCTTTTTGGGCAGAACAATGGACCTGTCGTCAGACAGAACACTAAATTATAATAATAATAATAATAATAATAATAATAATAATAGGTTGGCATATATATTTTTTTTTTACAAAAAACAAACATTTTGTGTTAATCTTCTTTTGTGCGTGTGAATATACACATGACCTATTGTACATGAAAACCACCACCCTGTTGAAGGCATAAACCCTCAAGGCTGTGAGTGCCGAGTTTCTTTTTTAAAAAAATGAATAAATTGTGT